TCCTGGCGAACGGGGGCTCGCAGGGCAGCTCGGCACCGTGGGGCACATGAACTGGCAGGAATATGGCGGGCACTCTGGACACGACGGAGCTGCCGGGCAGCGGCTGCGGTATGAGACAGCGCCCGCTCCAAACCAGTCGGTCACACGGTTCACCCCGAACCGTGCGCTCGCTTGAGCCAACAAGGTCACGGAGAGAGACGAGACCCCGCGACCCCAAGGCGGCCATCCCCCGAAGACTCCAACTAACAATATCGTGATAAACACTTGGCATCTTCCCTGCAGGCCGGGCCCCGGCAAGCGGCGGAGCGGCCGCGGACCGTCGGCCTGGCCAGCGGCAGCGCTGATCTGCGGGGCGGCCGCGGCCACGACGACGACGACGACGACGGCGACGACGACGGCGACGACGACGACAACGACGACGACGACGACGACGACGACGACGGCGACGACGACGACGAGCGGAAGCGAGAGCGAGGGAGAACGACAGCAAGGCCACAAGGACACGAAGTAGGCCACGAAGGGCGACAGCGGGGACACGAAGGGAATGCGTACGGGGCCACGAAAAGCGCGAACGAGCGGGGGCCACAAAGGGCAGATAATGCGGGGCCACAGAAGGCAACGATGGGGCCACTGAGGGTAGCAACTGGGCCACGTAGGACAATGAGGGGGCCACAAACGGCGACAGCGGGGCCACGAAGGGCATGCACATGGGGCCACAACGGGCGCGAACGAGCGGGGGCACGAAGGGCATAATTACGTATAGTGGGCCGCGGAGGGCAAGGACGGGACCACTGAGGGCAGCAACGGGGCCACGAAAGGCAGCGAGGGGGCCATGAAGGGCGAGGCATGCATATATTGGGCCACCACGGGCGCGAGCGAGCGGGGGCCACGAAGGGCATACATATATGGGGCCACGAAGGGCAGCGAGGGGGCCACGAAGGGATGCAATGGGGCCACGAAGGGCAGCGAGGGAGCCACGAAGGGCAGCGAGGGGGCCACGAAGGGCTGCAACGGGGCCACGAAGGGCAGCGAGGGGGCCACGAAGGGCTGCAACGGGGCCACGAAAGAGGGGGCCACGAAGGGCTGCAACGGAGCCACGAAGGGCAGCGAGGAGGCCACGAGGGGCTGCAACGGGGCCACCAAGGGCAGCGAGGGGGCCACGAAGGGCTGCAACGGGGCCACGAAACAAAGCGATGGGGGCCACGAAGGGCTGCAACGGCACCACGAAGGGCAGCGATCCCGATTCCTAGGTCATCTGCGAGGGTGTCCTAAGCGTGAGCGAGACTCCTGGGTGCCTGGGTGTCGGGAGCGCGGCGCTTCCGTAAATTGAAGGAAATTCCCACGCAAGGGCGTTATTCTTCAATAGCTTGCAAGCAAATCTCCAGCGAGAGGTCGACTCCAGAGCGCCGGAAAAGCGATTCCTGCATAAACTGTATGGAAGTCCCTAGCGAGAGCGCGATTCCTGAATAAAATGCGAGGACGTCTCGGGCGCGGGGGTCCTGGCTAAATTGCGAGGAGATTTCAGGGGGGAGCCGTTGTTGTTGTAACCCGGGGCCAGGGGGCCAGTTTGAGCCTCAAGACGTTCCCTGATCAACAACAGGGTGCGAGCGTCGAAGGGCAAACTTTGATTGAGAAAAACAATACGCACCGGTGGGGGGATCAACAATAATCGTTGGTCAGAAATGAAAGTTCAACAATCATTCTAAGACTGTTCGCTCTTACTTGCCCGCGTGTCATTCAAAACGAGCTCGCCACACCCTCGATACCCGCCCTGTTCGTTTTCGACCACACCCCCTTTGGGGGAATTCTTTCTCTTTGCGGGGGGCGGCGGGCTTAGACAGGCGGGCAAACCTGAACGGGCGGACAATCCTTCGTGGGCGTACATGTGCCCACCATTGGAATTGGTGTGGGCTCTGCAGAAAGAGGAGGGGGAGAACGAGGGAGAGTGGGAGGAAGGGAGGGGGAGGGACGAAGGAAGAGGGAAAACGCCAGGAGAGAGGAGCGAACCTGGGGGCGGTTGATTAGAGGCAGAAAGAGAGAGAGAGAGAGAGAGAGAGAGAGACAGAGAGAGAGAGAGAGAGAGAGAGAAACAACAAGAACAGGTAAGAGAGGTGAGACAAAGAGAGAGAGAGAGAGAGGGGAGAGAGAGAGAGAGAGAGAGAGAGAGAGAGAAAGAAAGAAAGAAAGAAAGAGGGAGGAGGCAGGAGAGGGGAGGGAGAAGGGAGGAGGGAGAGGAGGGAGAGGGCACAGGGCAGAGAGGCATAAGGATGAGGGAAGAGAGGAGGGAGAGAGAAGGGAGGAGAGGAGGGAGGAGGGAGGAGGGAGAGGGAGGAGGAGCAGGAAGGTAAGAGCGTGAACGTTCGAGGAAGTCCTAGGCGAAAGCACCGTTCCTGAAAGAAGTCTGGGGCGGGAGCCTGGGCGCAATTCAAGCGGTCGGGTCGGGCGGGTGGGACATTCAAGCGGGATGCCTTAGTATGGCGAGAGCGCGATTACTAAGTAAATTGTATCGGCGTCCTTGGCGCAGCGTGTTTCCTGAGCGTCGAAAGCGCGAGCTCTGCATAATTAGCATGGAAGTTACAGGCGAGAGCGCAATTCCTGAAACAAATGTGAAGGGTTCTCTGGCGGGAACGGGGGTCTTGATTACATTGCGAGGATATCTTGATTCAATTGCGAGGAAGTCTCAAGCGGGAGCGCCGTCCCTGAGCAAATTGTGAGGAAGTCTCAGATGGGAGCGCGGGTCCTGACTAAACTGCGAGGGAGTCACAGGCGGGAGCACCGATCCTGAGTAAATTGTGAGGAAGTCTCAGGAGCGGGGGTCCTGAGTAAATTTGGAGGAAGTCTCAGGCGGGAGCCGTTGTTGTTGTAACCCGGTTTGCCAGGGGCCCAGTTTGAGCCTCAAAACTTCCCCTGATAAGAAACAATTTGCGAGCGTCGAGGGGCAGACCTTGATTGAGAAAACCCAGTATGCACCGGTGGGGGGGATCAACAATAATTATCCTTCAGAAGTAAAAGTTTAACGATAGCAACGCTGTGATCGATTCTATCGTTGTTTTCGTTGTCTTTGTGATCGCTGCTATCGTTGGGGGGGAGTGGGAGGGAGAAGGCCTTCTGAGAAGGTTCGGAAGTCCCCAGGCCGTCTGAAGAGTTCTCTACGCCTTCCCCGAAGATAGACAAAACTTCTCAGAAGGCACGAGGGCTTCTGGGAAGTCCCGCCGCCTTTTGAGAAGGTTCTCGCCTTCTCACTTCCACCCCTCGCTGGCCGCCGAGAGGTGGTCCCAGCAGGAGGCCGACGAGCCATGGGTTGGCTCGGGCTTGAGAAGTGAGGCCCACCCAGATGTCCGACAATGCGGCCGGACCTTGGCCAGGAGAACATCCTTCAAGAACATGAGACCCTCCGCGGGCCAGAACAATCAGAACATCCAAGGGTACCCTGGTACCCTCCCCGGGATGCACAAGACTATCCAACCAACACCAAGAACATGAGGGTACCCTCCAGGAACCGACCTCGGTCTTCTACGTCGGTCCGACTGTTTTCATGTTTCCAAGCTGCGCGTGCTCCATCGGTTTCGGTCTCTGGGGCCTGCTGTGGGACCTCGGGGCCATCAGACAGTGACCCTGGACGCCGCACAGCTCCCATGGAAAGGGGTCGCAGCTCCAGGGCCACGGATTGGAAGACCGAATCGGATGTCTGGGCATCCAGGCGACGCAAGCATCCCCGGCCTGAGTCGATCCACAGGAAGGGACGAACCGCGGAGCACCTCGGGTGGCACACGGAGTCAGGGACCGCCACTGGCGGCAGTGGTCGGAGCAGCCCGTGCGCTGAGGGTCCTGGACCTCGAGGGCATCCACGTCGTGGCAGAGACAAGAAGTCCGCACACAAACGCACACGCACACGCACACTCACACGCACGCGCGCACACACACACACAAACACACACACACACACACACACACACGCACACACACACACACTCCATACACACACACACACACACACACACACACACACACACACACGCACGCACGCACGCACGCACGCACGCGCACGCGCACGCGCACGCGCACACGCACACGCACACACACACACACATACACACACTTTGGATCGCACGCGGTCGGGTAACGAATCCACGCGGGTGTCCAAAGATCGGGGAACCCGAGTCCCAGAGCTTCCGAACCAGCAGCTGCGCTGAGCGCAGGACGCTACCGAGAAAGCCTGCTCTCTCTCTCTCTCTCTTTCTCGCACACACACGCACGGACTTCGCCGTCAGAGCACAAGCATGAGGCTCGCGGTATCATTTCACTTCAGCCACGCTTAGATAGCAAGTGGGAGGGGGCGAGGGCAAACCGCAAAGGCTCGATCTGGGTGTCAGCCAGTGCCGCCCATCTTTGAAAGTCCAAGGGCCCTTCAGATTAGAAGCAGACCTCGCAATCATGTAAGCTGGACCGCCCTATCTAGACCCTACCCGTGTCATCTACTCCCTTCCTCCGATCCCCATTCCCCCTGCTTCCCCCCCGCCCCTCTCCAATTCCTTGCCTTCTCCCTCCCCTCTCCAAGCCAAAGCGTGCGTCTGGAAAAGGGGGACGCCAAGTTATACCATGTACCTTGTCCCTCTGCCGTCCCGCCCCCTCCGGGCCCATCCGTCCATTGCGTGCGCGCCCGCCTCAGACAAAGACGCACGCCTCCTCTCCTCGTGGCCAACAAGATCTGCCCCCGGACCCAGTCTGCCCTCCATCCCGACAGGCTTTTCGAGCCCCTCTGGGAGAGAGCGATTGAAGGCGTGACGCTACGGCAGGCTCGTGTCGTGACGACTTACGCGCTGGGTTCTGACGCCACCTGGATAACGCAGATCGCCCCGATAGCGCAAGCCACTCGACATCGGCCGACCCTGGGCTGCCAGCGGCCTTCATTCTTGCACGCTCGCGCCAGGGTCGCCGCCGCATCGACGCTGCGCGAACCTGCCGCAAGGAGGACGGGAGTGTGGGAGAGAGCCTGCGTTTTGCCGGCTCGGGTAGCGACGGACGCCGAGCCAGGGGAGCTCCGACGCCGACCGCATGCCAAGTCCGCTCTGTGAGCGTCCGACGCCCTGGCCCCGGGCAGGCGCGGCCCCGCGCGCGGAGTGCGATGCCGCCCTCAGCCGCCTGGCGCCTCGGAGCAGCCAGAAGGAATTGCGCGGCGGGCTCGTATCGCGAAGCCACTGGCGTTGGCTGCGGACGCCGCGTGGATCTTTCAACCCTCAGCGACCGCGGCTGTACGACTGCTCGGATGGGGTCAGTGTTGGCCGACTCTGGGCATCGAACGCCCGCGCTGGAGTCGCCGCCACGGCGGCACGACACCAAACGACCACAACGTGTTTCCACCACCTCCTCGTCCTCCGCCTCCTCCTCCTCCTCCTGCTCCTCCAACTCCCCCTCCTCCTCCTCCTCCTCCTCTTCCTCCTCCTCCTCCTCCTCCTCCTCCTCCTCCTCCTCTACCTCCTCTTCCTCCTCCTGCCCCGGCCTGCCCCTCACAACCCATCCCGCTTCCTGATACGCAACTACTCCTCGTCGTCGCATCACCAGGCGTGTCCGTAGGTCGGCCCGGGCATGTCGCCCGACAGCATCATACAACTAACCGCCCCGAAACTTGAATTGTCTAATAATAGACGAGCGCGTTCCACCATTCAAAAAGTAACTACTCGCAAATGGCCTGGATCCGCCGCTGGGCATCCACGGTAAATTACATCGAAGAAAACATGCAAATTCGGACGTTTGTGAGTGGGCACTGTGCGAGTAGTGGAACGCGCACGGTGAAATAAGAGTGTTGATGGGGACTTTCAAGATCTGGCTCTCGCCTGAGACGTCCTCCCAAGTTCTGGCCATACGCAGGTGTGTTCATACGCCTTGCGACCCCCAACGGCTACACGAATGGAAAGCAGCCGTCTTCGAAATCTGGTTCTCGCCCGAAACTCCCTGGCGGCCCACTGCCAAGAGGCCAGAAACATCGAATAGTGACGCTGGTGAGGAAGGCGGCTCCTTGCCGAAACCGTGCTCCTGCTTCGGCGCCGCGCCAGTGCTCCTTGAAGCTCCTTCTAACTACATGGCCGATTCCTGAAACCCTGAGCCCAACCACGTCGACGTCTCGCTGTGACTTCGGCCGCCCGCCACCGGCCTTCCACCGGCTTCTGCCAGCGGAGCCGCCCAGTTTGACTTCCGCCAGCCTTCCGCCGAGGAAGAGATGTCAACTCGTTCGGTCCTCTGTGTGGCCACGCTGGTGAAGAGGGCGGCCTCCTTGCCGAGACCGTGCCCTCGCCGTGAGCGGCGCGCCCGTGTTCCTCCGAGCTTCTGCCAACAGGCCACTCCATCTGCAAACCTCGCCATCGCTCGGACGTCCATTCCCACCTAGGGGAATTTGAGGCCCGTACCGATTAATGAACATTGTCCCCCTGGATGGAAGCCTTACCATTGGACGGTTCCCGTGGTGACGCACCCGTAACCATTTGGACGTCGACGACGACGACGACGTTGACGTTGACGTTGACGTTGGCGACGACGACGATGGCGTTGAAGACGACGACGAAGACCACGGTGGTGATGATGATGAAGATGATGATGATGATGATGATGATGATGATGATGATGATGATGATGATGATGATGATGATGATGATGGTGAGCGTGATGCTCATGTTGATGCTGATGCTGATGCTGATGATGGTGATAATCATGATGTTGATGATGCTACTGATGATAATGATGCTGGTGTTGCTAATGGTGATGGTTGTGATGGTGATGACGATGACGGTGATGATGATGGCTATGGTTGTGCTGTTGATGATGATGACGACGACGATAATGATGACGATGGTGATGATGATGACGATGCTGATGATGATGACTATACTGCTGATGATGATGTTGATTGGTGTACTGATGCTGATGATGATGACGGCGATGGTGATGATGATGATGGTGGTGACGATGATGACGACGACAATGCTGATGATAGTGACGATGACGATATGATGAAGATGATGCTGATGATTAGCATGTAGATGAAGATGATGATGATGCTGATGCTGATGATGATGATGATGGTGGTGATGATGATCATGATGATAATGGAGATGTGGATGGTGAGGATGATGATGGTGATGATGATGATGACGATGATGGTGATGATGATGATGATGATGATGATGCTAATAATGATGATGGTGCTGGTGGTGTTTGTTTCGATGATGATGATGATGATGATGATGATGACGACGACGATGGTGGAGATGATGACGGGACAAAAACTAAAACCACATATAGTCTTAAACCGCACCCTTACGGAAGGAGGGGCAATGGTGCCCAAGCAACATGTGCCAGACCCTCTCGACGCAACATCGAATCCACTTCGAGATACATCACATCTGCGCTTGCTTCCAGCAGAGCTGCAGCGGCTGCATAGAGTCGCTTCAACTAGATTCGAAAGTGTACAGTCGGGGGCTTGACCTAAGGAACCCAAAATAAGGAACGAGGCCCCTTTTTTCCATGAGTTAAACTTCGATTTCCGATCGAAAACCTAAGGAAAACCTGAGGCAAGCTACGAAACACTTAAGGAACGCGGAGCCCCTCCCCAACGAAAAGGGTTCCTTCTTCAGGGCCCCGACTGTAATGCATGATGCTGTCTTGGTACATCGTGTTCGACAGTGAGGCATTGCTGATTTTGACAGGAGGTTCTCGACTGATGATCGGCTGCTGGGCCAGCTGCCAGGCCGGCCGCTCGGGCAAGCTCGGCCGCGGCGCTCTACCAGGAGTACGTGAACTCCTCGCCACGACCACGACGCTGGCCCATCATTAATGTCGACAGGGCGGGGAGGCAAGCGAAGAGTAGGAAAACGAAGACGATGACGATAAGGATGACAACGAAAGGTGTGAAGGACGACGACAATGACGACCAAACCTGCTGCCGACCTGGGCGAGGACGGCGACGATGTCGAAGCCATGGCAGGAGCGATCACTACAGTGGCACAGTTCGATAGAGCCTGCATGTGAGGATCGGGAACCTGCACGTGGAAGACTAAACTCCACCCAATCCCCCCGTAGAGCATTCCAAGAGGAGGCCGGAACTCACCTCAAGGTCGGTCGCTTTCTGGACCGGATCAAACAGGAATTAGGCCCTCGACCTCGATCAGACCTGGAAGAAGGAATCTCTTTTCTGCCATTCCGGAAACCGAACGGAACGAATCACCCATCAAACAGAAAAAAACGACCCACGAACACGGAAAGGGACATAGATCTACTAAGCCTGCATGCTGCCGCTCGTGGTCGTCGTCGACGTCGTCGCCACTCTCCTACTTATTTTGATTTCGTCTTCGACTCGCGTCGTGCGACGGGGCCTCCAAATCCTCTAATTATTGCCTACCGGCGACAATCCAAATGCTTCGGACACGGAGCAAAAGTGGACCTGACCATGAAGATGAAAGGACTACAGAAGGGAAGGGCCACGGGACGTGCCTGGGGCGGGACAGGGGAAGGCTGCCAACGCGCCAGACAAGCCTCCAGAACATCTGAGATGACTGTACGACATCCCCACAGGCCTGGAAGACGCAAAGGGCCCAAGAGGATCCACAACACGGCCTGATGATGCCAAAGTCATTGATATCCTGTGGATTGTATATGATGTTCTCATCCTCACCGTTTCGGGGTTCTGCACAGAGAAGCACCATAGATTGGCCCAATATGGCCGAGGAGAGTTAGGACCCGCGATTATGGCCGAACGTGGTACATGGGCCAAGCAGGACATACTCAGGAACGTACGCAACCCTTCTGCAAAGATGGCGGCTATAATCAGGACCGCTTCATTCCAAAAGAATGGACGTACGTGCAATCATCTTGAAGGCTTCGCCACGGAAGGCGAATACTGGGCTGGGTCAGCGTGTTCCCCCCACTCCGCCGTACTTCCCAAGAGCCCACGAAAATGCAGACACTTGCACGCTTCGCAGCCCCCCGAGGGGCCGCGAGGTCTCGGCTTGATCTGTGTACTCCCCCACCCAGCCGTGCCTCCCAGGAGCCCGCGGAAGTGGCGACAATCATTTCTCACTTCCAGCCCCCCAAGGAGCCGCGAGTTCTCGGCTGGGTCTGCGTCCTAAAGGAGTCGCGAGGCTTCGGCTGTGTGCGTGTGGACCTCCACTCCGCTAGGCCCCTCAGGAGCCCACGAACGTGGCGACGGTTGCGCACTTCGCACCCACCTAGGAAGCCGCGAAGCCTCGGCTGGGTGCGCGTACCACCCCTCTCCGCTGAGCCTCCCAGGAGCCCACGAGTATGGAAAGAATTGCGCACTCCGCAGCCACCGAGGGAGCCGCGAGGTCTGGGTTTGGTGCGCGTAGACCTCCACTCCGCCGGACCTCCCAAGAGCCCACGAAACTGGAGACAATTGTGCACGTGGCAGCCCCCGAGGGAGCCACGAGGTCTCAAATGGATCTGCGCTGCCCTCACCGCCGCTGTGCTTCCCAGGAGCCCACGGAAGTGGCGACGGTTGAGCACTTCGCAGCCACCAAGGGAACTGCGAGGTCTCGGCTCGGCGCGCGTACACCTCCACTCCGCTCAACCTCGCAAGAACCAACGAAAACATAGACGTTTGCGCACTTCGCAGCCACCGAGGGAGCCGCGAAGTCTCGGCTGGGTGCGCGTACACCTTCACTCCGCCAGACCTCCCAGGAGCCCACGAAAATGGAGACATTTGCGCACTTCGCACCCACCTAGGAAGCCGCGAAGCCTCGGCTCGGCGCGCGTACACCTCCACTCCGCTCAACCTCGCAAGAACCAACGAAAACATAGACGTTTGCGCACTTCGCAGCCACCGAGGGAGCCGCGAAGTCTCGGCTGGGTGCGCGTACACCTTCACTCCGCCAGACCTCCCAGGAGCCCACGAAAATGGAGACATTTGCGCACTTCGCACCCACCTAGGAAGCCGCGAAGCCTCGGCTCGGCGCGCGTACACCTCCACTCCGCTCAACCTCGCAAGAACCAACGAAAACATAGACGTTTGCGCACTTCGCAGCCACCGAGGGAGCCGCGAAGTCTCGGCTGGGTGCGCGTGCACCTCCACTCCGCCGGACCTCCCAGGAGCCCACGAAAGTGGAGACATTTGCGCACTTCGCACCCACCTAGGAAGCCGCGAAGCCTCGGCTGGGTGCGCGTACACCTCCACTCCGCTGGACCTCCCAAGAGCCCACGAAAGTGGAGACGTTTGTGCACTTCTCAGCCACCCAGGGAGCCGCGAGGTCTCGGCTGGGTGAGCGTGCACCTCCAACCCGCTGGAACTCCCAGGAGCCCGCGAAAGTGGAGACAGTTGCGCACTTCGCACCCACTTAGGAAGCCGCGAAGCCTCGGCTGGGTGCGCGTACACCTCCACTCCGCTGGACCTCCCAAGAGCCCACGAAAGAGGAGACGTTTGTGCACTTCTCAGCCACCGAGGGAGCCGCGAGGTCTCGGCTGGGGGAGCGTGCACCTCCACTCCGCTGGAACTCCCAGGAAGCCCGCGAAAGTGGAGACATTTGCGCACTTCGCACCCACCTAGGAAGCCGCGAAGCCTCGGCTGGGTGCGCGTACACCTTCACTCCGCTGGACCTCCCAAGAGCCCACGAAAGTGGAGACGTTTGTGCACTTCTCAGCCACCCAGGGAGCCGCGAGGTCTCGGCTGGGGGAGCGTGCACCTCCACTCCGCTGGAACTCCCAGAAGCCCGCGAAAGTGGAGACATTTGCGCACTTCGCACCCACCTAGGAAGCCGCGAAGCCTCGGCTGGGTGCGCGTACACCTTCACTCCGCTGGACCTCCCAAGAGCCCACGAAAGTGGAGACGTTTGTGCACTTCTCAGCCACCGAGGGAGCCGCAAGGTCTCGGCTGGGGGAGCGTGCACCTCCACTCCGCTGGAACTCCCAGAAGCCCGCGAAAGTGGAGACAATTGCGCACTTCGCACCAACCTAGGAAGCCGCGAAGCCTCGGCTGGGTGCGCGTACACCTCCACTCCGCTGGACCTCCCAAGAGCCCACGGAAGTGGAGACGTTTGTGCACTTCTCAGCCACCCATGGAGCCGCGAGGTCTCGGCTGGGGGAGCGTGCACCTCCACTCTGCTGGAACTCCCAGAAGCCCGCGAAAGTGGAGACATTTGCGCACTTCGCACCCACCTAGGAGGCCGAGAAGCCTCGGCTGGGTGCGCGTACACCTTCACTCCGCTGGACCTCCCAAGAGCCCACGAAAGTGGAGACGTTTGTGCGCTTCTCAGCCACCCAGGGAGCCGCGAGGTCTCGGCTGGGTGAGCGTGCACCTCCACTCCGCTGGAACTCCCAGAAGCCCGCGAAAGTGGAGACAGTTGCGCATTTCGCACACACTTAGGAAGCCGCGAAGCCTCGGCTGGGTGCGCGTACACCTCCACTCCGCTGGACCTCCCAGGAGCCCACGAAAGTGGAGACGTTTGTGCACTTCGCAGCCACCCAGGGAGCCGAGGGTCTCGGCTGGGTGAGCGTGCACCTCCACTCCGCTTGAACTCCCATGAGCACACGAAGATGGCGACAAGTGTGCACTTCGCAGTCCGCGAGGGAGCCGCGAGGTCTCAAATGGATATGCGCTGCCCTCAACGCCGCCGTGCTTCCCAGGAGCCGACGGACGTGGCGACAGCCCCGCACTTCGCAGCCACAAAGGGAGCCGCGAGGTCTCAAAGGGACCGCCGCTTCGCCTACCTCCGCCGTGCCTCCACGGAGCCAACGAAACTGGCGAGAATTGAGCAGTTCGCAGCCCACGAGGGACCGCGAAGACTCAAAGGATTCCCCGCAGCCCTCAGCCCAAATGTGGAGAGCACAGGAAAATGGCGACAGTTCCGCACTTCGCAACCACCGACGGAGCCGCGAGGTCTCAAACGGACCCCCGCTGACCTCACCTCCACCGTGCCTCCCAGGAGCCCGCGACAGTGGCGAAGGCTAGCCGACCTCCACCTCCTCGACCTGCCTCTTCACCTTTGCTGCCCTTCGGTTGTTTTGCTGAAGAGAATGTTTCAGCCCGCGTTTTCTTCTTGTGGTGGGCCTCTGGTGCGAAAAACTGGTGGGCCTCTTGGGCCCTGGGTTATCAAAAATAAACCGGGTGCGAACAGCTGGCCGAGATCAAGTGGTCGGAACCTATGGGGCGTGGCATGGAAAAAACAAACATCGGCGAATGCCTGGGAACACGAACGCGCATGAGGGAGCGCGATCCACCGTCGCTTGACTGGAAACATCCGCCCCCCTTTCCGGGAAACCGATTGGGGCCTGTTCGAAATGGCCCCCATCGCATCCTGCCACTAGGGCTATCCAACTCTAGTGAAATTCTACTAGGGCTCAATCAGCTATAACAAGATCCCACACAGGCTAGATTCAGCTCGAACGGAATCCTACAACGGCTCGATCCACAATCGAATCCTTCTACTAATGGCTGGCTCTGGTATATTCCTTCTCGGGTTCGGTCAAACTTTACTTGGCTCCTACTACGGGCTTGATCCAGCTCTATTAAGATGGTATTATTGTTCGATTCAACTCTAATGGGATCGCACTGTGGTCTGGCTGCAGCTCCAATAGAACCCTACTCGGGCTCGATCCAGCTTTAATGGCACCCTACTCCGGCCCTGACCAGCTTTCATGGCATCCTGCAAAGGCTAGGTCCAGCTCTACTAGGACCCTACTAGGCCTGGATCCAACTGTAATGGAATCCCCCCCCACTCACCCCCGCCGTTTGAACTGAACCGAGGGGGGGAGGGGGCGGGAGCGCCTCTCAACCCCGCTCCCCCCCTCCCCCCCGGTTCGAGCGGAGTAGGAGGCTGTTTGACCCCCCCCCTGGGTTCGAACCAGGGAGAGGCTTGCCAGTAGCGGCAGAAATAGCTCTTTCCGAGCTCCCCCCCGCCCCCGTCCTCCTGACCCTCCCATCTTCCCTCCTCCATCCTCCCTCCTCTCTCCTCCTCCCTCCTCCCTCCTTCCTCCCTCCTCCCTCCTCCCTCCCTCACTCCCTCCTTCCTCCTGACCCCCCCTCCCCTGAGATCCTGGCGACTCAAGTTTTTCAAGCTGGGCGTTTTCGCGCAAGCTCGTGCGACCCCCACAGACCGATCCGCTCGAAAAATGGCGCAGAAAGCTAGGGTCTAGGGTTCCAGGCGCGATTTCTCGCGGCGTCTCAATTATATTGAAACGTCGGATCTCAGGGTCCCGCCCCAACCCTCGCCGATCGGCGCTCCTTCCGGCCGGGGATCCCCACGGTGACGCTGCCGCCCCGGGACGTGGCGGATTCCTTCCAGTCCTGCGGGGGGAGGTCGGCAGCGGAGGGCGGGAGGGGCGGGAGCGGAAGGGCCAGGTTCGGGACCACGGGGCCGCCTCTCGTCCTCCACCACCACCTCCTCCTCCGCCTCCTCCTCTTCTTCCTCCTTATGCTCCTCCTCCTCCCCCTCTTGCGCTCTTGCGCTCCTCAGCGGTCGCCCCGATAACACAAGACGCCCGCCCTTTACATGAAACGGAAACTCAGCGCCTGAGGGGGGCAGGGATAACCGCCTCCAGTTTAGAGTTCGAGGGATCCTTCCCCTGCTTCAAAATCCCCGGGGCTTTCCGTTTCCACTCAGTGTCGGGGTTCCCCGAGCACTCTCTACACAACTCCTTGACCTTCAAACGGGCATACGCTCCACAGCGCACGCACCAGGTCAGACCTCCATTCTGCCAGAGACGATGGGTGGGGTGGGCCTGGGACACAATCCTCGGACGCCCAGGACACGGCAGCTGCACCAGCCGAGAGCGAATCGCCCGCGACAACCCACAGACACAGCATCCCCACCCACCGCCAGGAGCCTGCGAGACAACGTGACCCTTATCATCTGGGACTATCTCGAGAATCGGGGCCTCCGAATTCTCAGGCTCTCTTTTGGCCCGCTCAGAGTATGATGATACATCAGGATAACCCAGTTGATGGACATGCTTGAGAACCGCCACCATATATCTGGAGATGAGCGTAACCTGATCATGATGATGCCGCAGACGATCCCAAAGGTGATGATTTGCTGGATGCGCCTTGGCACCTGTCTTGGCCCAGGAGTCCGCCTCCTGGTTGCCTCTGAACCAATGAGGCTCATAGCCTCTTCGTTGCGCCGCCGCCTCCGACATATGCGAAGGCATCCAACACACATTCACCGAATTAGCTCCGACGTCCTCGATCCTCATCCAGATGAGGCGCCAGAGCTCCGCGTAGCACTTGTTGGATTTTACCGTCCCCTCCCTTCCCGTGTTCCACCCGTCGTAGACCATTTTACAATCCGTTATGCTGTGGATACTTGGCCCCATGAGGCACAGCGCCATGTAGAGGGCGTAAAGCTCACTGGACGGCACGTCCTGCACTGGGAGAGGGGAAGGCCCGTAGGCCACTGCGTCCACCTGCATACTCGGGCTGATGGAGACGACCGCCCATCCAGCCCGCAAAAGCCGACGAATATCTCCGTCGTAGGCGGAACCGTCGATGCAGGCAGTGTCGCCTAACACTCCACTCGCGGGCTTCACAGCCCACCTATACTCGGCACCTTGGAGGATCTTGGGGAACTCGGTCCTCTTGGAGTCCACCAGGGCTCTCGTGAACATGATATCAGGCTGAGTCAGGGCCACGGCTGCGGCCCCCATTCCACTATGGTCATGGTCCCTCCTGATCAGCTTGGAGCCATCACAGCCCCATAATCGGTGAAAAACCGTACCCTTCTTCTGGAGGCACCACTGGCACCGATCATCAATCACGTACCTCTTCCTGAAAACATCAGCCTGCGCCCAGAGACCTCCAGAAACCTGAAAGATAAGCAGACTCGCCCCAAGAAAATCTCCAGCACCTCGTAGCCTAGCAAGTTCATCACGCAGAGGCCCCACATATGGCTCCCGAGAGGCATTGTAATGAGCTCCCGCACGTATACGCAGCAGCCGTCTAGTCGCTTCGTCCGCTAGGGTTTGCACAGTCCTAGGCCCTACTTCTTTGATGTTGATGGTCACTCCGTCCGCGTTGGCCCAAACATCCCAGGAGACAGCTTCCCACTCGAGCCTTCGAAGGGTGAGCGCTACCGCTCCTGCTGGGCCTAGGGCCGTCCTCCACCCTTGAGACCTAGCCTTGACCGCGTAGTCGAAGGCGTGCTTCATCTGGGCATCCGTGGCCCACGAATCAAATACTGCTCTGACCCACATCTGCAGAGGCAAAGATTTTGCTGCGAACATCGGGTCGAGCTTCTCGACCTCAGCCAAAAGGAACTGCAAGCTGCGGCTGCGGCCCTTCACAGGCCCAAAAATAGCCGCCCCTGTCGAGGCGCGCTGCTGCTCCAACTGCGCGTCGCCGAGACCGACGACCGAAACACCATGCATGACCGCCAGCGTGGGGCCTCCTCGATACACATTCTGAAGCGGCTTCCGAGAGAATCTGAAAGCCCTGAACATTCGCACCCTGCCCCTGGTCGTCTTCAGTCTCTTTTTTTGTGACGTTTCTACCCTTTCCAGTCCTCAGCTTGAAATCGGCCCCGAGGTTTTTGGTCGCCTGAACGTGCTTGAACCCAACTTCCCGAAGCGCCCACGCCAGCTGCTTTCCAAGTTTCGGGCCCGAGGCCACCAGGATCGATTTACGTCTCGAAACCTTCATCTCGAGCTTCTCCAGGGACCTGCAAACAAACAGAGTGCACCTAACTAACTGAGTCCGAACATGCTTCTGATCACCCACTGCCTGGAGACCAGTGTCGTCCACCATCAAAGAAATGCCGATCCTCGGCCACTTCTTGGCCGCATCGTCGAAAACATCTAACAACACTACTTTCAGCAGCGCCGTCGCATACGAGCAGCCTGCCACAATGGTGGCGTTCAGCTCAAAGGGCAAAGACACCGCCTCTCCTACTTTAATGACCCGCTTGCCCGAGTAAACCAACAGGAGAAACCTTAACCTCCTCAAACTGAACCCGTGCTTGTTGCATGCTCTTATCAATTGCTCGTGCGTGATTCGTTCGTGTGCCTTCTCCAGATCAATCAGCGTGCATCCACTGAAAAAATTGCTGGCTCGAGCGGCCTCGTTCAACAACGCCTGCTTCCAGATAGCCATCTCGCAACTCTGACCCTTTCCTCCGTACATGTACGTGCGCGCGTGCTTGTCCTCCCACCTTTCCGCCTCCTCATGCCGAAGCCGACTATAGAGGCGCAGAGGGGTGGAGATAATCCCAATGGGCCTCCTCCCCCTTTCAGGCTTCTGCAAAAACGGCAAAATGAGCAGCGCAATCTGCTCGGGCAGCTGGGAGTACGTGTCCCACAAATACATCAGGACACTTAGAGCAAGCAGGCCAGAGGCACAGAGCTGCTTCAGCGCGCGCGGGGCCCAATTACAGACCCCCACGGCGGTGTGCTTCTTGAACTTCCCCAAGGCGGGCCTGATTTTATCTGGCGCAACAGGCGGCTTCGGGTCCTCGAGGGGCATCTCACTGAGCATCCTGGGAGCGACCTTGGGCACCTCCCCGAACCTCCAGATGTGCTTCCACTCCTCCTCCAGGGCCCCCACCTGATCCTGAAAACCACCAGGGGCCCCATCGAGGCCAGGGTCCGCGGGGATCCAGTCGTTGGGCTGCTTCGTCCACCTGTGAACTCTCCCTCCGCCGTTTTCCAGGGCCGAGCGGGTCCATTGTCTCCACTCTTGGTGCCGAGACCTTTTCCAAACCTGCTCCTCACCCTGGATGCACTTTACATGGTCCTGGATCGCTTCGTGCAGCGCCTCGGCGTGGTATCCTTCCAGAGAAAAATGCTTATGCCTCCAGTTGACCCAGCGCTCGCACTCCCACAGGATCGTGGGCGGCTCCCTTGCCTTTTTCAGCAAGTCCTGCACCTGCTTATCCTGGCCTGAACGGCCCTTGCGGAGCAGAAACAATAACTCCTCCATCCTGACGTTATACCTCCTCATTGCCCTGGAAACTGGAGATCCCAGAGGGTAGGGGCCTCCGGCTTTCGTAAGAGCGGGCCTCCAAACGAACCTGAAGGGGGCTCCTCTTCCTGTGTGCCCATCGGCCTGCGCTGGATCGATCTGGTAAGTGTTCACCAGCTCCTGCTCAGCCAATGCACAGAAATCCGCATACGTATCCTTCGCCTGCTCAGCCGTGAAAACCGAGCCTTCCACGAAGGTCTCCAACCTATCTAGCAACTCTTCCCAAGCTGGCGGTGGGCCTGGTGCAGGCCCCACTGGTAACTCATCGGGAAACTGACGAGGTTTGGCCACAACGCGAATCTGAGCAAGATGCGAATCCGTGCGAAGTACTAGCTTAACTGGAAAATGCGTCGAAAGCTCTGTCTCTTCAATCCTATTGCATCTTACCACAGCTGGAACAAGGCCTCCTGAGACTATGAAATAACCGATCGTTCTCCATTCCTTACCCACTCTGCACGTAGGCTTCCCAGGCTGGACAATAGAACCTCCGAACTTCTCAAGGATCCCAAGAGCTCTGATTTCATCAGCCGTCGCATTGAAATCCCCTCCAATGACAAAGGGTTCCCCAGACGTATACAGTGTCTCCCCGAGCTGCATCAGGATCCGGCGCCCTTGGGCACCTGCACCTTCCCCCGACGGTAAGTAGACCGAGACCCCAATGATGCTACCTTTCAGCAATCCACCTATCCACGCAGAAACAACTCTCGAGGTTGGTCTCGGCAAACCTTCCAGGGCACCCATGCCTACTCCTACTCTACAGGCGACTCCTACCCCCGAAGACAAGCCTCCAGACTGGGTCATCTCACAGGCTCCTAACCTTACATTCCATCCAAACTTCAAAAGTGTGCTGCTGGATTGGGCCAGATCGGCCTTCTCGACTTTGCACCCCTGAAGGAAACATGTGACTCCATCGCATTCCTTCTCCAAATAACTCTGGCATCTCGGCCAACTTGTGACATTGGCCGAGAAAAAACTCCACGGGCTAGGAACTGGACAGCTTAGATCTCGATCCTGGGCTCCTGCTGCGCCTGTCTCGTTTTGCCACCTCAGCTTTCTCCTCCTCAAGGCGCTGGGTCGCCTTGCTGAACAGGCTCTGGATGGTGGCCTGCACTTCGGGGTCCGCGAGCTTGCCATCAGACTCGAGCTGAGAGCGAAGGTCAAGAAGTACACCACCATCAGCTTCGACCATCTTGACGTCGCGCGACGTGTCGCCGCCGCCGCCTGCGGAGCCCTGGGCGCCTGGCGGCTGGGCGCCAGCGCCTGCGCCTCCCGCGCTGGCGGCGCCCGCGCCCGCGCCCGCGGCGGCGGCGCCGACGGTGCCGCCTGACGCCGCG